TATAAATTAAATTAGCGAAGTAACGGGTAAGTTAAAGTCTTAGAACTTTGAAAAAAAATTATTATAACACGGTTAACACTGATTGGCTGGATGGTGTAGATCGTCATGTGGTTCGAGTAGAATCTCACAATGACCGTCACTTTTTTTATAATAAAAAATTTTTAAAATTTTGCCACTTCTAATTAATAAACGTTTTAATTCTGACTCAACTTTAGATATTTCAATAACCACCTGATGGAATTCGATAAAAATTGGTTTATTTTAATTCTAAAAGTCAGTATATAGAATTAAAATAAAAAAATAATTGAGCTTAATTGGCGGGTTGTAAAGATATTGTTAATAAAATTGTTAAGATTTTATATGATCTCTAAAATTTTTATGATTTGTGTAATTTGGTAGATGTGACAAATCGCGTGACTGATATAAAAAAAAATTCGGGTTTTAAAGGATTTCTAATCTAATCGGTGACATATTTATAATTGATTAGATCTTTTAGGACTGAATCCGGTGTTATAAGTTAGAAGCGGGTTTTACTTATCAGTATCAATACGTATAACCCATTTTTCTACCGTCTAAAGGTCGCATTACATTAAAAAATACTTTTACCGTTAGTTTTAAAGTTTCAGAAGCATCGTCTTTGTTCAGAAGTTTTGCACCTTGCTAGGGGGTTCGCTTTTTCGTCCATGGTCTTGTCATTCCCCAGGGTTTTATCGAGGTTTCGACATTTCTCCAGGGTTTCTCTGTTTTGTCGGAGTTTCACCGTTTCGCCAGGGTTTTACCGTTTCGCCAGGGTTTCACCGTTTCGCCAGGGGTTTCCCGTTTCGCCAGTGGGTTTCGTCTTTCGTCTTTTTTGGGCATAGGTTTTTCGTCTTTCGCCATATACGTAAATGGTTTCGCCTAATAACTATACGTCCACCCCAGCTTCCACCGTATCCACAAGATAAACGGTTTAAAAGGGCCCAACCCTTCTATAAAAAGCAAACATTTTGGATGTATACTGGTGGAGGAGGGTTTCTTTTTGCGACATATTATGTAAACCATTTAGAAGTCGTGCCAATAAGTAATCGGCGACGATTTATAGACGTAACCCCTAAGCAAGAAGCAAGATTAGCGCAACAAGCATACTCGGAAATAATGAAGCGGTATCGCCATAAAATTTTGCCAAGTTGGGATCATCGTACGCGATTTGTCAGAAGTGTTGCTCAACAAATTATAAGAGTTAGTGGAATGGAAGGTTTGCTTATAAAACTTCAATAATAATATATTCATAATCAAAAATATAAATTCTAAAAATATATTTTTTTTAAGATTTAAAATGGGAAGTTCATGTTATTGATTCACCGGAAAAAAATGCGTTTGTGTTACCTGGCGGCAAAATCTTTGTTTTTACAGGGATATTACCGATTGTTGAAAATCAACATGGTTTGGCTGCAGTTCTTGGACATGAGGTCAGTTTTAAAATTGAAACAAAATCTTATGATTATTATATATAAAATACAATTATTAATCAAAGAAAATGTATCACGAAGATATTATTACGACTATCTATTATGGTTATAAAATAGCTGCAACTAAAATAGCGAGGAAAAGAGCAAGATAAAGATTTGTTTTGAATTGATTAAGAGACGGTGCAACAGATATAGGGGCAGGTGTTGATGGTGATTTATCGGTTGACGTTGCGCTTACGCTTGCGCTTGGGCCTGTACCTAACGGTGTAGCAGATCCAGTTGGCGTGGGAGATGCTCCGGAGCTTGCTCTAAAGGCAGAAGGTTGATTATAGTGTGAATTAATACATCCACTTACGCATGATTGATAACCTGCAGTGGTGGTATCTAAAAAATAATAGACGGATTCATTAGAAATTAGAAATAAAAAAGAAACAAATTTATGATAATTTTATTTACTTGGACAATTAGATATACAGTCATTAGTCGCGTTAACATCTTGCTGTGAAGGATTAGGAACTCCTGCACACCAGGCAACACAGTTAATATCACTGTTGGAACATCCATATTTTTGAATACATTGTGAAATTTGATCTTTAAATAAGATGTTTTATTAGCAACTTATTAATACGAAAATAGTAAAATTATTAAAATTATTCAATGTATTCAAAAAAATTCACTAACCAGGTGCGGAAGTAGAAGTAGCGGGACTCGCTGCGGCGGCAGGATTCGCTGCGGTCTCACTTTGTGCTCTCACTAGTGCCGAAAAGAAAATAAATGAAATAATTATGATAGAAAGAGTTTTCATTTTGATTTCCTTGAGAATATATGCGCGAGCTCGTAGAAAATATAATTGAGAGAATTTATATAAATTTATATAGTAAAATTTACAGTAAAAAAAATTTTATACGTATCGGTATAGTAAAAATTTATAGTAATTTATAGTAGGAAAAAAAACGCTGTGTTCATTAAAAAAACTCTCATGATAAAAGTTGTTTGTTCTTACATATGATCTTTTTATACGAAAATAGATGATACTATTTTTTTATTTTAAGTATTTTAAGCAACTTTGTTACTTGCATACTATTTATATTTACTAATTTTTTATAAAAAATAAAAACCCGAATTACCGAATCACACTATGTATATGTAAATAAGGTTAATTACGTATGTATTATCCCTAATTGACCATCATGCATGTATATGTATTCGATGAATTCGATACATTACCTATTGTAAATTGCTGCACGAAAAAATCTTGCCTTTTGTGCTTTGAAAGCAATATATTGTAATTTAAATACTCGAAACAGTAATCATAATTTCCATTTAACGATTCAAATTATGCACCAATAAAAAATAGTCATATTTTTAGTAGTTTAGGCTAAGATTCGGATCATATGTTTGCCGTTGCGCAATCAGGCGTTACTGAAACGAAACTTTCTAGAAATGATCAATTATCAATAAATCTGAATCCATGACTCCTTGATAAACTTGAAAGATGGGCGTTACACGGTATACGATTCGTTGTCAAAAAAATCGCATATTCACACACAATGTTAATTTTCTAACTATACTTTTGACCCTCTAATTAGCGTTTTACTCATTAAAGGTCTTAAAGATACTAACGTCGCACATTATTTTTTGACTTTTCATGAACGAATAACCAGCCAATTTTCCAATCGTCAATCTAAAGCTTGGCATATTTCCACTAAATTATTTCGAGATAATCGAGATAAAAATGCAATTCCAAAATTTATTAATTCCTTAGTATTTAGTGACGATGTCAATAAAGTTTATTGTCTTGCTAACGAAGTGATGATTGAAGCTGAACATGAATTGGAAACTATCTTATCAAAATTGAAAAATTTATGGGCTATTAAACAGGGCGTAAAATTTGAGGTTTGTTTGTCTTATAAAAACTTCTTTGTAATTCTATTCATGAACTTATCTTTATACCTATTTAAAAAGGGTTATTCTTACAATATTGGGGACTTTATTATTCGAACCGTTGATGCTAGAGAGAAAGGGATGCTTGTTGAAGTAATTATCTTGCAATAATTGCTTAAATTTTTAGTCTAATTATTTCATTAAAAAAATGTTAATACTATTCTTTACTAGGTTGAATACCTTCCCACAACACATCCTCATGCCGCTTCCTCGATTCTAACTGATTTTATTGATTTAATCATGCCTAAGGATGCAGATATTGTACAAGGGGACCAAAAAGGTGATAATTCCTATACGAAAGTTGGTTTATCTGAAGAAACATTTACAAGAATCCACGCTGCATATCAATATATGACGCTTTTTAAATCGGAAAGCTTGTTATGAATTATCACATATATCTTGTTATGTATGTCTATTAATTTCATTTTAATTTAATTTATTTTTTTATTATTAATCTTACAAAATAATAAATATTTCGTTCAATCTTTTATGAACTTTACCAAATAACCCATAATGGTCTGAAATGTTCTGTTGTACTTTTAAAACCCGCAAATTGATTTACACAATCACTTTCCGCTCTCTTTTGCAGTGCTTCAGGCAACCATTCGCTAATTTTTTTTATCCTTGCCTCAGGATTTGGATGCGTGCTTAAAAATTGTGGTGGTGCTACTTTTTCAGCTTTACTCATTCTTTTCCACATATTTATTGCTTCTTCCGGATTATAACATGCTTGCGCCATTAGAAGGAGGCCAATATAGTCTGCCTCACTTTCACATTTACGCGAAAATGGCATCCTGAATAGATTGTTAGGATTAACTTGTTTAAACCATGTTTCATTATTATTGATCTTGTTATAAAATAACTTACATTATGCCAAGTTCTATAAAAATATTGCTAAGAAGACCGGGATCAATGAAACAGCTAAGAAAAAGTTGTAATAGA